TCTCAAAGATTCTTGCTCAGGCCGGAGCTGCACAGGATGGCATGTGAGGTGCCTCCTAACTTTGAGACTCTGTACTTCTGAGATGGAGAACTCTCTTTAAGCATTAGCAGTCAGGACAGAGCTTGGAGGGGAGGTAGCCTTGCCCCATGTGGTGCTTCTGAAGGGAACAGCATTTCCTGTAAATAGAAGCTTGAGCTGGTCATTGGTTAGACACCTGTACTTCCTCCTCTTCCTCATCTGTACAATGAAGGGCTTGGCCTAATTGGTTGGCCTCTGAGATTCCTGCAGCTCAACATCTATGATCCTTTGGTCAGTGAGGGCGGGTCTTCAGTCATCAGAGAAGTTCTAGAATGTTCTGGGCTCACTATCCAGTGCCAATGCCAGACATATTGCTGTGCTGGGTCCACAATTTAAATGTGGAAGGCACTTTGTGAAAAAGTCGTCAAGGCTGATTAACAACTGAGGATGATGAGAGAAATCAAAAAGTCAGAGACATAAATAAGGTCAGAAAGAAATGTGTCAGCTTATGAAAAAGAGTTGAAAAAAGAAGAAATTACTGATATCAGAAACAAGAGCCCTATCAACATATTGACTAACTTTCGAAGGGATGAATGAGCAGGAACCGCAAGAGTGATTAGAGGGAAAGGAATGAATGTAGATACCACAAAAGGTGCTGGTTTATGTTCCTTGACGAGGAAAAGGAGATGGGCATTGGAGTAAGGAGTGTGGATTAGGGGAGGAGAGGCCAAGCTGAGGGGAAGCTAATCCCCAGAGACTGCCTTTTAAATTAGTCTACATACATTCAGATCTGTGGCTTGTAATGATTCAAATTGCTAGCGCATTCAAAACAGATCCGAAACAAAAAACACATCCCTTGGCCTCAGTCATCACGTGCCTGCCAGTTGCATTTCTGAGCTCTTTCAGAAAGCTGGAGCCCGAGAGTAGGACCAGATGTAGGGCTGTAATTTGACAAAAGTTAACCGATGGTTGTGGAAACTACATATCCAGAAGATTTCCTCATGACCCAAGAAAAGGGCTTATGAAATCCCAAAAGGAATACAGCTTGAAGGCACTTCAAAGACAACATGAGGCCTCTAGCAACCAGTCTGGGCTCATAAAGAACAAAGATGAAGGCCAGTCTAATTTCTTCTAGTTCCTGCCCAACCATACTGGTGAAGGACAGTACAGCAATGCCTACAACCCAGCACCTAGCTGGACATGAGAGGCTAGACTTCTGATTCCATCACATGAGATGCACTCTTCCATGAACTGAGAGAATGGGGCCTAAGAAAAGAGGCCCCTGGGCAGAGAGACTATGTCTTCAGGGCAGGACAGTATGGTGCTAGAGTAGTAGTATTCCTCAAGTTCAGTTATAGCCCTAGTGTGTGACGTTTTTATCAGTGAGTTGTCTGTTGGGACATATACCAGTGGAGGACACACTCATTAGTTTAGGTGAGAGGTTCAAAGACTGAGAACTGGAAAGAATCTTGAAGACCATGAAGTCCAACCTCCTCATTTTATAGATGAGAAGACTGAGGTAGACAGAGGCCAGTAACAGGGCCAGGGTTATAACTGACCTTGGTTTTTTTGGCTCCAAGTCCCTTTCTCTCTCTCTCCTGCACCTCTGAGATGTTTGAGGATAGGACCAGCAGAGGAGAGGGCACCAGCACTTTGGGGAGCTGCCATCATGATTCAGAGTGACCCTAGGAAGTAGAAGTGAGTGAGTAGAAACCAAGCCAGGACAGGAAGTGAAAATAAATCTCTAGTATCCCGATGAGCAAAACACAATCTCTTTGGCGATGTGACATAGAAAGAGGAAAAACCAAAAAGCAGCCAGTGATTCAGATAGGGCACCCGGATGGAGGACACTTAGAAGCTGGCTCAGAGAGGAAGAATTCTACTTTAGCTCTTCCATTCTGATTGTTCAGGGGAGGTGCTTACTAGGGCACATCCCATTTTAGTTATCAATGTCAGAAAAACAAACACACAAACATAAAGAGGAATAGGCTGCTCTGGAGTGGTGGGCTCCCTCTTACTGAAGGTCTTCAAGCAGAGGCTGTATGCCTCTTGCTGTTTGGGTTGGACTGAATGACCACCAAGTTTCAAATCTCAAACTCTGTGATTTTGTGGATGACGGAACCAAATGGTAGTGAATGAGGAGTAGAGTTAGATGAAGACTTAAAGGTTCATAATTTGGAGTGATTTAGAAAAGATAAAGGCATTGGGAAACTGAAGGTACCAGAGTCAAAAGTTTAGGTGACTATGTCCTCTAAGAGGGTGGAAGGCTCATCCATGGCATGGATGATCGAAGGGATGCTCCCCAGCACTACCAGAGTCAGAACAAGAACAAGACTTCAGGGGGCAACATTAGAGTTGGAAATTTCTAAAAGTGACAGACAAAGAAAGATATGCTAACCCCACCACTGTGGTTGCCAGTGGCATGCCTTTCTCCTTTCTTGAGAAGATCAGAGTCTGGGCAGGCCTCAAATGCCTTTTGGGAAGGGAGAAGTTACCTAGAAAGGCAATAGATGAACATCTAACTCATGTTTCTGAGTGCTGCATGAGGCTGACAATCCTTGGAGCATTTTAAATTTTATCTTATCTAGTGATATGATTTCTCTTTTGGAAGTGAAAATGATCACATATCCCCCCCTTTTAATTTTACATGCTACCAAAAGTGGCTAAGACAACTCTTGGTTCTTCAATGAAACTAGGTATTTAGAAAACACACACACACACACACACACACACACACACACACACACATCAATCATAGGTAAACACAGGCAGCTAGGCAGCATGGTAGATAAAGTTTTGGAGTTGATGTCAGGTATACTCATCTTCCTGAGTTCAAATTTGACCTCAGACACTTACTAGCTGTGTGTCCCTAGAGGAGTCACTTAACCTTCCTTGCCTCAGTTTCCTCCTCTGTAAAATGAGGCTAGAGAATGAAATGCAAAAAAACTCTGGTATCTGCAAGAAAACCCCAAATGGGGTCACAAAGCACTGGACAGGACTGAACAACAGCGTCAGTAACAAAATAAGTGAACATCTTAGACATTGCATTCCTAGGGACAGAAGAGTCGGGACATAGCTGAGCTTCTTCCTGATATGACCAGATATGGTTCTTTCCTTTTTCATTTTAAGCCTACTTCAGTTGCTAGAGTTCAGAACAGTCCCGTGGAGTGACTTTCTTATTCAAAAGGTTCTCGGCCTCAAAAGGTTGATTCCTGCCCTCTCTGCATTATACTCCATGGATCATAATTGACCTCTCATAACATCCCCCTGCTGTGTTTTCCTAACTGTCTGAAAATATTCTGTGTATGTGTTTCGTGTATCTTATCTGTCCTGATCTGAGAGCAATTTATTTGTCCTTAGACTCACTTCAGAGGCTTTGTTCTGAACATTATGTGGTTGTTATAGATTTTGCTACTCTCAATCTTGCAACCCAAATTCAAACAGGGGTTGATTTTCTAGAAGGAGTGCTCAAGAAAACAAACATTGTTGCATCTTTTTGTTCTCTTGATTCAAAGTTCCACCTCCCCTTTTCAAATGTGTCTTTATTTGTGCAATTTGTTACTATCAGCAGGAAGCCTTCCAACTTGGTAAATCTCTATCTCAATTGACTGAGGAGTTTCACAACTGGGATTTTTGGGCTCATTTTTGGCCTGCTTCCTATTTCCTGGGGCCATGTAAAACCTTTTTTTTGCTCTGCATAATCTCTAGCCTGCAGGCGTGTAACACTGATTGTGTAACTGTACCCCCAGCTTGGAGTGATTTTGAAACTGAAGTTTTCACTGGTTTTAAAAAGGAAGGAAGGAAGAGCAAAGAATTCAAAGGAAGATTCTATTTCAATGATGGAGAAATGGGTTTTCAGATAGAGCAGCCCCTTTCTCTCTTTGTCCAAGTGAAATCACAAAGCATAGGGAAGGAATCCTTTTTCCTTTATCCCTGTTTCTAGCTTGCTTACGTCTCTTCGCTCAAACAGGATGTGTCTGCCAATTTAGCATCACAACCTGTGTGTGCCTGTTTACTCTGTGTTTGGATAACTGTTACCAGGTGCAAGGCTCAAGAAGGGTGGTACTGATGACTAGATGGTTGTACCTCTGTGTTAGCCACTGGTTGGAACACACTGATTTGGGCTGGGCCTGGGGGAGATAGACGCCTTTTAATTCACGATAATGACAGCAATGATGATAAATGATATTAGTTAACATTTACAAAGTATGCCCAGCAGCTCTGGATAGTAGGTGGTATAAGAATTTGTATCCCCATGTTACAGTTTAAAGAGTTTAAGTGATCTATTCAGCAACACCCAGATAGTAATCAGAAGACCAGGCCCTTGGTACCTGAGGTCTTCATACTCTAAAATCAGTGCTCTTTCTCCTATAATTGTCTATTCTGATAGAAATATGGAAGTAGGATCCTAGGGGGGAAAAACACAAAACAAAACAAAAGAAAACTGTGTGATTATGACACTTGGCCAGTGGAGAGCTGTGCTTCCTACTTTTTGAAGTCCCAGAATCACAGATCTTGAAGTGTCTATGGACCCTCTAGGCCTCTAGTCTAACTCCTACTGAATAAGAATGACCTCTCCAACATCTCCATGAGTGACTACCCAGCTCCTGCTTGAAGATCCCCAGTGAGGGAGAGTAATCCACCACATGCCAAGGCAGGCCCACCAACTTTGGGACAGCTCTTATTGTCAGGGAGGTTTGGTTTTCCTCACGTTGATCTTGGTGACTTCTGTCTGCCCTCTTGGGCCAAGAAGAGAAAGACCAATCCCTCCTTTGGGGGCCAGACTTGAAAATATTTGAGCTGCCTCTTATGAGTAACCTCTGCCTTTCCTTTCTAGCTCCAAATCTCTAGGCCCATAAAATAGGAGATCACCTATTCAGTTCTCTCTCTCTCTCTCTCTCTCTCTCTCTCTCTCTCTCTCTCTCTCTCTCTCTCTCTCTCTCTCTCTCTCTCTCTCTCTCTCTCACTCTCTCTCTCAACAGTATTCTACAGAGCTGAAGAAACTCTACTGCCAGATAGCAAAGACCTGCCCCATTCAGATCAAGGTGATGACCCCTCCACCACAGGGTGCGGTGATACGGGCCATGCCCGTCTATAAGAAGGCTGAGCATGTCACAGAGGTGGTCAAACGCTGCCCCAATCATGAACTGAGTCGGGAATTCAATGAAGGTAAGGTGATTAAGTTGTGATAATCTACCTGCTTTCAGTTGCTTCTTTTACAGCATGCCCATACCTTTAATCTGTCCCCCAAACTCCATGTAGGTGTTATACCTGATAAAAATTGTGCCTAATAGGCTAAGGGATAATCAAGTAATTTTTTTTTTGTTTTCTAAAATTTCAGTTGAAGATTTCCTCCATTTTGAACCTTTGAACTCACCATTCATGGATACACCTAATGTCTGGACCTATCTCCTGTTACTGTTGTCAGATTAGGCCAAGTATGAGGAAGGTAGCAATTTGGGCTGTAGGCCATAAAGCACTTTTTGGAAGGGAGTTTCAAAAAACAAAATGGAGGTGGGAGAAATAGAAGGCAAGAGGAGAAAAGAGAAGTGGAGAAGAGGAGAAGAAATGGTGGGTAAGAATCTTTAGCATAGAATAAGTTCTAGAAGGTATAGAGAATATTGCTAAAGAGCAGAATTCAAAGAAAACAAGGTTCAAGGCAAAGCAAATGAAAGACCATCAGAGGAGAGATGAGAATAGCAAAGCTTAGAAGAGAATGAAAGTGGGAGAAGGGACAGGTGAGAAAGTGGGTCTGTGGTCAGGAGAAAAGAGAAACACTCAGTAAACCAGCAAAGGACAAACGGATGGGATGGAAGGACAAGAGTGAGGAAATGTCAGATAAAGAAAAGAGGGCTGAAGCAGTATGAGGCAGTGGAAATTGTGGGAAGGCATAGGCAAAGGGACCACAGGACGCCATTGCTCAGACTATTTCTTCTGAACCCATCTTATCTAGAGTTTGCCAAGATTTGTCTTGTAAGAGAGAGCGGACGTTGTATACACCCTAAAATCATTTACCTCAATTCTTCCCATCATTACTCATTCAACCTCTTTGTTTTCATTCTTTGTATTGTGTATTGGCTGAAATTTTTAATGCCCTCAATGAATCCTCCTTGGATGTCTTCAGATTAAGCATGGTCCTGCAGCCCGGACATCAGTTTCACCCAGTTTTGTGTGTGTGCTGTTTCCAGAGCTGGACTGACCTCCATTTTCTCTCTCAGCCTTGCCCTGTTTCTCTATGGGAATCCACTAGCAGCAACATCCAGAGGCCCCTCAGCTTGCATTCAATACTAATTCTAACACTTGGATTAACATAGAGGGAAATGCTAGCACAAGATGCTCAGTGTTGTTGGTTATGGTTTGGCACCCTTTTGACAGACAGAACACAGACAGTAATGTCTTGGCTCAAATGGCTGTGTTTTAATTTTAAACTAGACTCTTTACTTCTCTCTCATTTCCTTCAGAGTTGATTTTTGAGTTTTCCTTAGTAGCTTCTGCTAAAAATATAGTAATGACATTCCATTAACATCCATGAGTCTTTAATCCTTACATTGGTCTTTTTTTCTACAGTCACAAATGAATGTTATTTTGCTATATTCCCTTTTCATCATTCCATCTCTTCTCTTATAGTGATGGTAGTCATGCCAATTATTAATATAACAAGAAAACAACATCTTCCAAGGAAATTTCCTTTCCCCCTCTTCATGTGCTTGGAATCTCCAATTTTCTGCCAGTATCTGATCCATTATTGGGTTTTTGTTTTGTTTTATTTATTCCCTTTTCCTTAGGGAGGGCAGCTAATGGTATCACATCATTTCTTTGTAGGACAAATTGCCCCTCCTAGTCATTTGATCCGAGTAGAGGGGAACAGCCATGCCCAATATGTAGAAGACCCCATCACAGGAAGACAGAGTGTGCTGGTACCTTATGAACCACCACAGGTAAAAACAGATCAGGATTGGTTAGGTCTTGTGAGCAAATAAAATATGGGGGTAAAGTGGGGTGGGTATTGCTAGAATCAGCTGTTCAGCATTTTGATTTTGTTATTGTTCTTAAATGTATATTTTGGATTATGTTTCTCTTCTTCCTCCTCTCCATCTATCCCCAAGTTTATACTAAATCCAGATGTTAATACTACTATTTGCCCTCTGGCAACATGTATACACAAGCAAACATCACAGGATAATAGTCACAAAATTAAAAATCATAAATGGTAAAATATAAATATTATTAAATAAGAAATTATCTAAAACAATAATGAAATAAAAATAACCATTTAATAGTCACAAAATTTAAAAATAATATTTATCAGTTACCTCCATGCATTTCTAAAAGGATAACATGTCCATGTAGCACAGAAAGAGATTCCACTACTTATGGCGGTGGAGGGGGAGGAGTACAGATTGTATGATCACCCATAGTAGCATCGGCCTAGGAAACTTGGCGCCCTATTAATGCTAAGCTACTTACAAATTTTGAGATACAAGGACTATTATACCAATGTTCATATTGTCAGCCATCAGACAGTCAGTGCCTTAATAAACGGTGACACATTTGCCAACGATGGAGTGGAGGTTCAGGGCCAATCCTTTTGGTGTTGTATCCTACCACACTTGGCATTGAAATCCTCTACCTCTGGACTACAAAGGTGACAGAAACACTATAGCTTGGAGAAACTAGAAAATAGATTGTCCTTTGGATTTTATGACACATGGAAAAGTGTGAGAGTCCTGGGTAAGAGTCATTGCAGTGGTGGTTGCACCCATCCATGTCCTTTCTCTTCTTGGGTCCAGGTTGGCACGGAATTCACAACGGTCTTATACAATTTCATGTGTAACAGCAGCTGTGTCGGAGGGATGAACCGCAGACCCATTCTGATTATCGTCACCCTAGAAGCGAGAGAGTAAGTCCTGTATAGGTGGAGTTGCCGTCTTATATGCTGGGTAGGGGCACTCGGCAGGCAAGGTCCACTTGGGAATTTCTCTCTAACTGGCTCCCGGTACACCAAAGTCTCTCTGATTGCTCACTTTGTACTGTAAATCCTGGCGCAAACAATTTTATGAGGAGACCTGAGAAAATGAAGACCTAGGAGGGTGTGGTGAAGTGGGAGGGGTGAAGAGGGAAGAACTGCTTTATCCCAGAATTCTTGACATTCAACTACAATTGTTTCTTATTAGATAGTGTTTGTTTTCATTCTCCCCCAAGGCATTTAACAGTTTCTTTGGGTAAGTCTGCCTCGCCTAAGGGGATCTTATCCAAAGACATGCACTGGCTTAACTCAAATTTCCTTCACAATATATAGGCAAATACAGCTGCTCTGTTACTGGGCTCACCGCTGTTCTTTAGACAACAATCTCAGACTGATTTATTAATATCACCAGCAACTTTTAAGCCCTTTGGTGTTTTTCCAAGTGCTTTAGCCATTTTAATTCATAATATAGGCAAGAATGTTAGAGCGAGGGCATCTGGGGCCCCTTGGTGACCTCTCTGATACAAGAGTGGGGCTACAGAAATGGGACACTCAGCCCAGGCTTGCTAAAAATGGAGCCTGAGGCAGAACCAGGACTATTCTCTGGTCCCGAGCAGGGGCTGGAGAAATGGTGTGTGGAGGTGTGCAGCATTCTAGGAGGCAGTGTGGATCAGGGGAATAAGGGCTGGCTAGGTGCAGTTAGAGCACCTACATTCAAATCCACCTCCAAATGGGTTAGTCTCTGAACCATCTGTAGAAAAGGGAAATGGGTTCCATGGCCCCATGGAACCTTCCTTGCTCCTTCCCGCCTGACCTCTGACGCCCTGATACTGTGCGGTTTGACATCTCTGAATTTCCCTCTTCCCTCTCTTTGGTTCCCAGTGGGCAAGTTCTGGGCCGCCGATGTTTTGAAGCCAGAATCTGTGCTTGCCCAGGTCGAGACAGGAAGGCAGACGAAGACAGCATTCGAAAGCAGCAAGTTTCAGACAGCTCAAAGAATGGTGATGGTACGAAGCGCCGTAAGTAGCTATAGTGGGCTACAGGCCAGATTCAAGGATTGTCATTAAATGGGGACCCAAGGAGAGAGTTGGGCATGCCGGCCCACTGACCTTGGGCATGGGCCACAGGGAAGACAGTCAGGCATGCAGAATCAGCCCTGGGATTGTCTGTTTTTAAAACAGAATTCCTAATCTGATCTACAAACTCAGAGGAGTACAACGCTTTCCCTTTACAGATGAGGAAACTGAGCCCAAAATTGGAAAGGTGGCTTACTCCAGACCACACAATATTAAGGCTGGAAGGAAATTCCAGATTCTCTGACTCCACCATAAACTTCTGCTGCTGCTCCTTTGTTTTCCTAATCTGTAAAATCAGGAAAGATGGGGAGAATAATTCCCATGCAATAGTCCTTTGAGTCTTAGAATCATTGCCCTTTGCCCACAACTCAGCAATGCAGGTGTGTATGTATAATTATTCTCATTTTGAGGTCAAGGAAACTCAGGGCAATTGAATGCCTTCTCTGTGATCTGAGCCCCTCAGAAGGATGTTACCTCCAGTATACCACATGAATAAGAGCTATTATTATCATTATCATTATCATTACTATTAAATGTGACTCTTACAACTTGGATAAGCCTAGGAATAAATAGTATGTCTCAGTTCAAAGCCCTGCCTAGCTAAAGATGGAGGTGTTTTATCACTACAACTTGGACCACTCACTAATTATTTTTATGTGTGTGTATATGTGTATATGTACACACATACATATAATATAATATATACATAGATATAATACATACATAAATACATACTTATGTGGTGAAGGGGTGGGGAGAGAACCCTGGGGGTAGGAACACACATCAATGCTCATCATGAAATTAGACAGGGTACCAGCACACAATCCTCCTCAGGCCTATGAAGCTTTCAGTTCTACAGGTCCATTGGTATAATGGTTTAAAAAAAAATTAAAAGCTCACAATTTTTATGATGGCCATAAACATTCACTTAACTCAGTGTGCTGGATGTGAATCCTTTGTCCAACAACCAAGGGTTGGTAGCCAGATCCACACTGACATCTTGGACAAAAGGGAAACCAGAAGACATCAGGGGATTGTAGCCAAATGAAAGGTGTTTCTGAGCCTTACCTTAGAGAAGAGAAACAAAGAAAAGGAGCTGAAGCTGTTGGTTCCCTGCAGTACTGAAAGGCACCAGCAAACATTATTGTATGGGATGCTCCTTGTCTTGCTTTGCGGTGCGCATGCCGGGTGTAAGCGGAGAGACCACCATGAAAGATAATTGCAGCTTCTGTGTCAGCATCCACTGCAGAGGACATAGGGAAAGTCTAGGAGGAACTTGATGAGCATCCAAGTTAAATCAACATATACTTTAATATTGTCTGACTGAGAAAATGAAATGGGCTCTGGGAGGACTGGAAAACGATGTGTGAAGGTAGAATTCAGGATCAACAAAGGGAAGTGCCCCAAGGCTTGTGGATTACTCAGATGCCTCACGGCTATGCATCTTGGACATTTCTTTAAGAGAGAGGCTGACAGCATTACGGATGGTAAGTCTTCAAAGAACAACAACGTAACACTAATGGCATTGATTCTATCATACCAGGACAGAAATGGTTACTGACATGCCTGTCATTCTGGAATCAGCTGTTTTGGTACAGTTATATGATGAATAATGAAAGGATAGTTCAAACTAAATATCAATGGAGAAGAAAGGGTGAAGCTTAAAATACCATACTTGCAAAGATTCTAGATTTCAAGCAGCAAAGGACCATAGAGACAACCCAGTGCAAACCTCTTATTTCACAGCTAAAGAGATCAAAGTGACTTGCCCAAAGTCACTTAATTACTGACAAAGCCAGGCTGTGAACCCAGGTTCTTTGATTCAAAATTCAATGTTATTTTTCCCCTTCTATACTAACCCTGACTCCAGCTCCAAAACAAACTATTTAAATTAGGTATCCATCCCAAAAAATGGAAAATGGACAAAAAGTGAAGGCATCAATTCTTACTGTAGCCATTCCCTAGAGAAGTTTTAAGTGTTGAAAAATGGTTGCCATAACAAGGCAGCCAGAAAGCCAGAAACAATCTCAACCAATATTGGTAGAGAAAAATGGATAAATGACAATAAGCCTCAATGTAGAACAGACCTGTCAGCATTTCTATATGTTTTATTCTCCCCATGAGGGACAGTCGAACCACTGTACTGGGACTCTGACACGTATACAATGTAAGAGAATATCAGCGGTGTTTAAGGTGAAGTTGGGAAGAGCGGCTGTCTCCATCCAAAAAAAAAATTGTGGTGAATATTATGTGATTTGAAATGCATCTGGGGATCAATCATTATACAAAGATGGCAAAATTTCCATCAAATAGAAAATGTCACAGATGGTATCGCAACCTAAAGGAAGCAAATATAGCATCAGGAAGCCATCAACATCTACCCTTGGGGGATATAGCATAGAGAATCTGGAGCCTCAACACCTGGCGCTGGCTTCTCCTGGTGAGATTTCCTCAACAGTATGAACATTGGAGATGGAAGAGTGTTCTAACTAAAAACAAGACAAAACAAACACCAAAAAAACAACCTCACCTAGAAGCCAGATTAAATCCATGCTCTGTGAGGCCAGCAGATGTGGACCCAACCAACCGTCCATGCTAATGCTGTGAAGGACTTTGACAATACAGGTCTGAAGAGCAGCAGGAACACTTGGTCAGCAGTTCCACGAAGTGTCTTTAACTTGTAGGGGGAGCCTAGTGAGTCTCTTGAACTATCTCAGTGTTTGATGTTTCTGTATTCGGTCATGGGCAATTTTGTCAGTGAGAAAAGAAAGGTCATTTTAAATACCCCCTTTCCTATTCCACAAAACACGACATATCAGGAACTCTTGAGCCACATAAATTTTTTCTTTGTTCTCTAAAACCTGTGTACTAATCAAAGGTATACTGGCTGAAAAGACAAAAAAGGAACATTTATGCTGAAATGAAACTGCAGAATCAGGATCCTCTTCTTAAGCACCTGCTAAATGAAAGCAAATGTGTTCAATTCAGCTGGAGACACAAACTCTCTCTGCCCTCAATGGGCCTATGTTATACTGTAGGGTGGTGGTGGTGCTAAAGGTACAGGCGTAAGAAATGATGAGGGAGAGGATACTACCCCAATGGGAGGCAGGATGGGGAGAGGGGATCAAAAAAGACTGTGCAGAAGACATGGAACCTGAGCAGAACCTGGGGGAAAAAAATCAGGATTTGAAGAGGTAGCAGCAAAGAGAGCATGCATCCCATGCACAGGAAGAGAACCTGGATAAAGACATTGAGATTCTGGATAAAAGCAATGAGATTATAGATGAAATGCTAAATTCAAGGAAATCAAGCCTTGTCAACAAGCATTTATTAAGTGCCTACTGTGTGCCAAATACTATTCTAAGCACTGATCATAACAACAACAACAACAGCAAAGGTCAAAAGCATTCCCTTTTCCCAAGTATTTCAGCTCCCAGTCTAAAGGGAGAGAGGCAAACGTCTGCTTTGACTCGGGGAAGAGTATGTGCAGGGGAGGAACGTGAACTAAGTCTAGACAGGTAGCCCAGAGCCAAATTGTGTAGCCCACATCTTTCACCGTCTCAAGACTCAGAGGTAAAACAAATATAAGATCCCACTGTTTGTATTATTTCATTTTTCACATGACCACAGAGTAGTCTGGGAGGAGCCTAGAATACTTTCCTCTGTGTCAAAATTATGCAAAGCTCAGATAGATGTGAAGACAGAGATTCCCTGAGCTCCCTGAACTCCCGAGTATTGATATGAAGCAAGACACAATCTCAGGTTGATGTTCAGTGTCCTGGAAGATGTCTTATTTGAGTCTCAACCAAATTGCCCTGGACTGTGACTTCTCACCAACTTTTTACCAGTACGCCACAAATTGAAATCGATGCCTTGTTGATACATTTCCTTCAGTTAAAAAGATAAAGAATCTCTTTAATTGATTAACAATAAGGACCAGAAATGGCCATCAGACTCCATTATCTCATATAGCAACAGCAAGAACTCTCCATTTTCATCTTTAAGCTGCTAATATACACCCACACATACATACATGTATAAATACATGAATATGCATATGTGTGTACATACACATACATACACACACTGGGGTTCCGTGGTAGATATTCCCCTAGGGTTCCCCCAAAGAAATAACTGTATATATGTGATTAACTATGGATTATGCAATTGTAATTGCAATGTAAATGTAATTAAATGTGGATTATGAGTCTTTGCCATTTCTGTCTTGAGCCAGGCCCCTAGCTTTACTTCTAGGTCTCAGTCTGGTGTCTTATCTACTGATCCCCAGATAGTACAGAGACTGAACAAGATAGGATTTGTGTGAATCCTCATGTAACAAGCAGTGGGGTAGAGTGAGAAGAGCCCTATGATTGGAACTGAGGTTGTGGATTCGAATCCACCTGCATAATCTAGTGTCCTAAGTCATTTTCCCCTCTCTCAGTCTGTTCTCTCATTTCTAAAGCAGGAAACTTGGATGAGATGACTTGGAAAGTCAGCAGGATGTTCCCATTATCCTGGGAAAATCTGTTACCTCTATGGGTTTGAGTTTCTTCCAATGTAAAATAAGAAGGTTGAACTGGATAATCTCTGAGTGTTCCTCCAGCTTTACTTGCCTCTCATTGGTGACCCACAACGACACATTGTATTTACCTCTTGTGTGCCAGTATCTCCATAAAATGTACATTTATGCAGCAGGGAGGTGGGGGGAGAGCTGATGTCCACCTCTGTCACGCACTTCAAAAGTGCAGAGAAGGGACAAAATCACATATGAAATATTTTCTGCTACCATAAAGTGAAGAGGATTCTATGAATTTAGCTGTAGGGGAAAATATTTTCCTCTTTCTTATTTCATAAGATTTTATCATAATAAAAATCGACCCTGACACAGAACTTCAAGTTGTGCAAGGTGCTTTTCTAGAAGCTACCTCCTTTTATCCTCATGACAGCAAGAATGGTATTTAAACCACAGGTCATGCCTTAGTGTCCCAGGCTTATTTCATTGTGCCAACTTTGTACTGATCTCCCCCCCCCAACCAATAAAACGGTTGGCAAGAGGGGATAGCCAGGGCTGCACTAACATGTGCTGCTGGTGCCCATCTGTCTGGGGGAAGCATTGCTGCCTGAGAGATGTGCTAAGATCCCCTTGTCCTTTGCCCACAGCTTTCCGACAGAACACTCATGGCATCCAGATGACGTCAATCAAGAAACGGCGCTCCCCTGATGATGAGCTCTTGTACTTACCGGTGAGTGCAACGGCTGGTATACTCGTTTTCCCTGGGCATGGGCTCTGAAATGAATTCCTTACCCACTTGTGATTTACTGGATGACAGAAAAAAAAAAAACAACATTTGTTAAGCGATATCTATTTGTGAAGCACTGTGCTGAAGATCAAAGATACAAAAAGCAAGACAGCCCCTGCTTCCAAAGAACTCCCGTTCTTAAAGAGGGAGACGAGACCAACTGAAGGTTCAATTCTAAGTTCAATAGGCAGGTGTCATGGTCTTTAGGGTATTAAAGCATTAAAGCTAATGATGATACACTTCCTTTGGTGTCATTTGCATAGAGAAAAATGTATCTGCTTATGAGGCTGAGCCATTTGACCTCATTAAATTGTAAGCTCCTTGAAGGCAGGGACTGACTTTTGCCTCTTTATATCCCCAGCACTTAGCAGAGTGTCTGGCACCTAGCAGGTGCTCAAGAAATATTTGTTCATAGATTCATTGATGGCATCAAAGACTTTGGTTAAAATGATTGATCTTTTGGGCCAGTGGGATGTAAGGAGAAAAAGAAGATGCAAATAATCTGAAGTTAACACTTCCCTAGACACCGATGGGCTTTGTCTGGGAATGAGTCATGTGGTTTGTATCCATTCTTTATTTCCTCCCATTTCCTAGATTTATTACCCTTCCCATGCTTCGTTTAGAATCATAATAAAAATGGATCTGAAATCCAACATGTCAGTGGTAGGATGTGGCCTAGAAATGGGTCAGGTAACAAGGCAAAAACAGACTAGGATTAAAACGTAGCTAAAAAGAATCCACAAAATAAATAATCCATTTAGGAATAATGGAAAGCTAGAAATGTTAAGGTTTATCCAGGACATGTTTTTTGAATGTAAAATTTAGACTGGGACTAAAAGTGGCACTATCTATGGAAAACCCTTGGGATTCCACCCTTGAGGAAGAAGTCCATTGTACAGTTTTGCGTGCCATGTTCACCCTGCCAGGTCATTTAAGACAATGTGTGCCCAGTTATTTGAACTCCCATGCAGCACTGCCATGCTACATGAATGCCATTCTAGAACACTGGAGACCCAGGGAGAGGTCAACAGTAGGATTTTAGTGGGAGCTGCAGTGAGGTAGAGACCAAAGCAGCCAGACAGGTCTGGGTGTGACACCCTTGGGCTGAGCTCTCCCTTAGTTCTAAATTTTACAACAATCATATTGACAAATTCATCCAAGTCTGAACTTTACAAAGGCCCCACACCAAAATTATCAATGGGTCCAGCACTCATGGTAACCAGCATGATAAATTGCAAATATTGGTACAGGCCATTGAGTGCATTGAAATATTTAAGGTGAATGCAGCTGTTGGGGTCAGTCTAGCTCATCAAAAAAAACCCAAAACAAACTTATTCCAAAAAATAAAAATTTGATTTAATGAAAGCTTAAGCTAAGGTAGATCCCATCAGATTAAGTTTTTGGAAGGCATTCCGTGGATTGGGTTTTCCCTAAAAGCTTTATAGTCCTGTTGATGTTTTGTATAGGTTAATAGAGTTTGCAGACCATCACTGAGCAGCCTTTGAAATGTGCTGAATATATGGGGAAGACATACTGGGAGGAATGATTTGACAAAGTGGATGAACCAGCTGGGGGAGATTTACAGTTGATTTTAATAAGGTTAATCCAATACAGACGGCTAGCTAGAGAGATTAGATAGATAGATAGATAGATAGATAGATAGATAGATAGATAGATAGATAGATAGATAGATAGATAGATAGATGGATAGATAGATTTAATAGATATATAATTAGATATGGTAACACTTAGAGAAATAAAATTTGGTGACAATAAAAGGATTCTGGTTTTTCATGAAACGTTAAATATGTGGAGACTGATGAAACTCCAAGACAATTTAGGAGTTTATCCCTTTTTCCTTTGAAAGTAAACATTTGCTAAAATTCTGGATTTTTTGATTTCTGTTGTTGCCTTTTTTTCCCCTTAAAATGTCTCAAAAATATATTTCTCCCCTGGCTAAGAACTGGTAGTCTGGATATTTTCAGTGATAGGTAAATGTCTAACACTTAACAGCTGTCATATATCAACAATTTTGAGCCTCACATCAATCCTCTGAGATAGATATTATGGATGTTATTAGCCACATTTCACAGATGAGGAAACTGAGGTTCAGAGAGTTAAGAGACATGCTTATAGTCCCATGGCATGCTAGTGTCAGAGGTGAGATTCAAACCCACAGCTTCCTGCCTCCAGGCCCAGCACTCTGTCTCCCACACAAGGCTGCCTCTCAGAACTACAACTCCCTCTCTAATCATCTTCTTCCTCCTGTCCTTGTACACAGGTTAGGGGCCGTGAGACTTATGAAATGTTGCTGAAGATCAAGGAGTCCCTGGAGCTCATGCAGTACCTACCCCAGCACACCATTGAGACCTACAGGCAGCAGCAGCAGCAGCAGCATCAGCACCTCCTCCAAAAACAGTGAGTGCAGCCACTCCCTCACTTTGCTGTAGCTAAGAGCACAGCCTGAAGGCAGGGATGAGGCCTCTCCAGCCTGTAGCCCTAGACAGTGTTGGGGGCAGTGTGACAGAGAGAAAGGGTATTCCTTCACCTCTGGTTGAGTTGGGTCCTGGTCTCAGTGGTGGCACACTGCCCAGATACAATTCAATTGATCGCTTGGCATCACACCCCTCCTGCTTATTGTGTTAGGAAGGGCACGGCAAGAATGAGGTTGGAATTGGGGGTGAGGTGTGGACACACTCTTCCTAACAAGACTTCCCACCCATGTCCCACATCCTGCCATGAGTGTTTGGTTTGGCAGTTCCGAATGTTAGTGGAGAAAAGTTCGTGTGAAGCTCCCAGGTGTCGCGCCACACAACAGAGTTAGGGAGAGTGGAGGGTGGGGCTTTGTTCAGCCTTGTCCTCTGTAGATAGGGCTGCATGTTCACTAAAAAAGGAGCAACGGAATGACAGTCCAACATAAGCCTCTAGCAAAGCCCTGCAAACAATTGGTGAAAAAGGCATGGAATTCTGCCGGCATGTATTTCTGTGGTAGATCAGCAGGCTAGGAAACAGAAAAATTGTTTCAGAATTTCACAGATGGGAAATTTTCTCCCCCTTGACACCCTAACAAGAGCTGAAGGCCAGAGCCATCATCCTGCAGTAGGAGGTGTGGTCTTTCCAGAGCAAAGCTCTCTTTTGTTGTGGTTTCCTTCCTGATTTTACCTCTCTATAGGACAGATCAGCCAGAAATCAAAATGGTAGAGTGTGGGGGCTTGATGGAGTCTCAAAGATCACCTGGCCTAGTAGTCTTCTATTCCACAGGAAGACATTGAGGCTGAAAGGGAAGTAATCTCTTGTCCAAGGTGGCACAGCCAAATTGTGCTAGAGCTAATACCAGCCTGGAGTTCTTACTGACTGAATGGGGGGTGGGGAGAGGGAAAAACAACATTTATTAAGCACTTACTGTATGACAAGCACTCTACTAAATGTTGGGGTTACAAAGAGAAAAAATGAGATTCATGGCTTTGAAATGAGCTCACACTATCATTAGAGGAGGCAACCCATGTAGGATTGCTCTGAAAGGGCCAGGATGCTTTAAGCAGTCAGCTTCTGGGCAGATGCAAGGGTCCATGGGTCTGAAGAGCATAGCTGCACACAGTGAAAAGGTCTGGAGAAGTCAGGAGGGCAGGGGAAGGGCAGGTTATTGGGCTAATGGTCTTCCAGTAGGCCTGTACTTGGTGACTCCCAGCTCAGCTAAGCAGTATGGCCTACCATGTCACCGTTCTGCCTGCCTACCCTCAGTGTGGTCTGGGCAACCTGGGTCTGGGGGGAGCTGGAAAAGCGATGTAAAGAGGGCAGTGTGTACTTCCTACTGCCTGGTAGCCTGGCCAAAAACCTTCCACTCCTCTTTAAAAGATGGAGGTAGATGGGCCTAGAGACTTGGAAGGGACTTGTACAAAATCTAAGAGCTTTTTTGGTTGTTAGTCGTAAATGAATTGCAATGGGCTAAGAATTAGGCCTGTGATTTCACTAACATAGGAAACCTTCAGAGGAGAAAACTCTCTCTTCAAATGCTAGCTGGCCTCTTTCTCTATGATTATAGTCACAGAGAATCATCCAGAGGAGTGAGTGGTCTAGGGTGTTGAGAGGAGGATAGTCAGGACCATGAAGGGTCTGCAGCACCTTCTCAGGAGGATGGAGTGAAGAAAATGGGTATGCAAGAAAACTCAGGGGGCCCTAATAGCTTTCCCCAAGTATCAGAAGGACTGTTGTGTGCAGTAGTGATTAGAATCTTTCTACTTGGCCCCAGAAGGCAGAAAAAGGAACAGATACCCGTTTCCAGAAGCCAATTGAAGCTTCTTGTCTGGGAAGGCTTCTTAATGACCAAAAAGCTACAACTGAGAAGGACTTTGGAAACCGTTGGGGCAATCTCCTTCATTATTTCATGAATGTAGAAACTGAGGCTTTGGATTAAGGAAAAATTTGCTCAAAGTCATAGTTAATGAATAGACCCTTATCCCACAAATAAAGTCCAAGTCTACTGCCTTTCTCTGTAGACTAAATATAGCTTCCAATCAATCTATCACATGGACTTATGCAACTTAGCCTTCCAAAATGGCCATATTCAGCCACCATGTTAAAGTATACCAAGGCTTCCCATCACTGGCTTGCTCTTGACTTTGAGGCTCTTGCAAGATGGTTCCTAGCCTAAGGCTAAGAAGAGACAGATGCACAGCTAATTCCCAGAGCCTGGAAAGCCAATTCAGGCACTGGGGCTCCATTTATCCACGTGCTGGAAGGGATACTTACTTGCCAGATTAAGACCTTGTGCTCTGATGATATCAAAGTATTCAAACTTTGGGAGCCTCGGTTGGGGCCAGTCCCTTCAGTGAAATGTAGCAAGTGAAAGGTGAATAATTCAGATATGCTTGTGAAATTCAAACTGAGTTTTGTTTACCTCAAGTCAAAGAATAATAAAGTATCTTGCCTGAGACACTTGAAGACTATCTGTGATAATATAAATGTAAACAGAAGCAGCATTAATGAGTTTACTAATTATTTTTATACTCCCTGGAAATTGAGCTAGCTTAGTGGCCCATGGAGAAGAGTGGAATGAATATTCATTTGTCTTCCTTGGTGATAAATTCAAACTCATTTGGGGTGATATTTTCCAATAATTGACTATTTTTATGTCTGTTTTACCAAGGTTTGAGGTGGCCATTGTGAAGAAATGGGTGTCCATTAATAAGTTGTTCAAATGTGATTCACTTAATTCTATTAGAAGCAAGACAGACAATTGTTGGCAAAATTGAGCTTAGGGGGTTGGGTAGATAGAATTCAGTTTGGTCACCGTGGTTGAAAGAGCATCATGATTCCTTCCAAGTTGAGTTTCTAGCCTCCCAGGCTTTGGATTAATCCACTGGACCTGGGGACTTCCCTAATACCCTGAATAATGATCACTGGGCTTGAGAAAGTGTATGAACCCAGCAGACCATGGTAACAGCTCTCTTGTTAAATAAAGTTTACAAAGCAAAGTGTCTTGTAAAAGGTATTGTTTCCATTTTCTGCATGAGGAAGCTTAGGTTCAGCGAGGATGAGTGCCTGCCCACACCCACAGCTAGTCATCATGGGAGCAGACATTAAAATGAAGTGTGTCTTGACTCTAAATTAGGAATTCTTTGTGCTGTACCATGCTGCATCTCATTTTTTCCCTCCCATCTTCTCTCTCTCCCCTCTCCCTCCTACTCCTTGCTCTCTCCCTCTCTTCCTCTTTCTATCTCTTTTCTCCTTCTGTTTTCTCTTCCTCTTTCCCCTTTCTTTCCCACTTTTCTCTCCCCTCCTCTCTCTCTCTCCTTCCTCTTTCTCCCCCTTCCTTCTTTCCTCCCCAGCTTATGTTTTTCTTCCCCCTCTCTCACTCCAAATATACAGAATGCCACAACCTTTGAGGACAGAAGGAACCAGAGTGATCATTTATTCTAATCGCCTCTTTTTACAGATGAGGGAACTGAGGCCCAGGGAGCAAGCATCTTGTTCAAATTCACTCAACTGCATCTTGGGGGCAGGGGTTAGCCAACACAACTGAATCTATCATTATAGACATGATGAGATGTGCAGAACAGTGCCTTTAGGAGACCTACTCCAACCTTGGGCTGCTGACAGAGCTGCCCTGACTAATTACTATGTGCGGTCCCTGCCAGGTGAGAGAGAGGCCCCCCTCTGGGAGAGAGCCAGGCTTAGGAGCCCTGAGTGTGTGACCACACTTGTGGTGCTTCTGTCTGAGCTCCACACTCTCTCTTGGCTCCCTGGCAGTCCTTTGGCAGTTAGATTGTGGGCTCAGGGAGCACAAGGGCAACACTTTCAGGCTTAAAAAAGACCAAGGAGGGATTTTCAGAGTTACATTTCAGCGCCAGATACACCCAGACCTCTCCAGGCTGGAACAGAGGTGGCTTTCTGCCTGGGGTGGTTGGGTTGGAGTGGTAGCCACATTGTCCAAAACAAAATATCAGTGAATCAAGCCTCAGGACAATGGTCTGTGGGCAAGGTGTGGGCATTGTTGGGGGAACATATCCACACGTTTAAAAACCTGGGCAGGCCTTCTGGGGGTTGGGGACAGCATTTTGTCACTGATCCCATGAAGCTTTCCCACTAAGTTTGTTCCTTCTCTCCTTTCCCCACTTCCCTCTCCTTAACCCCTACATGCTCCTTTCCAAGTAGAGAGAAGAACTTCAAAGTCTTCAAGTACTGGAAAAATAGGATCTGTCATATCAATTAGTGGGAGGTATATAAAGAGGACAAATAGGAGAGCTTTTAGGAGACACAATGAGGCCCAGTGCAGGGACCCAGAGACCCAAAGGACAACCTCAGTCGCTTCCAAGCTGTGTGACCCTGGACAAGTCTGAGCTCAGTTCTGGCATCTGTCAAATGGTGATGATGATACACTGGGCTCACAGGAGGTCATGTATATAAAGGAAATTGCAGACGTTTAATGCTCTGCAAATGGGGGCATGTATAATTCAGAGCAGTAAGAGGAAGATGGCATTCTCAGCTGAGAGGAAAGAACAAAAGAGCTGGGCTGAAGGGAAGGCCTCTCTGCTGTGTCCTCCTTCCTGAGTACCAGGAGCAGCTGACAGGCTTCAGGTCTGACCCACGGGCTGTTGGAACAATATTCCTGGAAAGGAAGTTTCCATGAGCCCACATCTCATAGAAAAACATTGCTTTCCAGTGAACAGAAAGGGATGATGTCTTTAGACTGCATACACTCAAGGTTTTGCTGTATGTGTGGCCCTGTGCTCAGTAGCCGAAAAAGATGACTTTACATGGAATCACCTGGTCTGCTTGGTGTGGACAAACTAACCTACACTCCTGGGGCTGTAAGCATGGGCTTTTAACTGAAGATCAGAAGCTAGCTGTTTTCAGTGTGTGACCTTTGGAATCTACCAGCATGAGTGTGTGCTGTGTGTCATGGTCTTACATATGTG